TTTATTTCAGATAATATTGATTCGATTTAAATCCCCAGAAGCTTTGTTAAGATAGTCATTAATGCCTTTTGGGAAACTGTTTTTGTTGCTAATAAAGCCTACGAATTATATGAAATCATTATCATTGCGTAATACGTATCAATCAATATTCATTGCGGCTACTGCTGGAGCAGTGATGAAAAACCTTTTGGTCTTTTTTCCTGGTTTATGCGCAGCCAATTCAGCACTGAATAATTACTTCATCGTTGAAACACTATACAAAAGCTGTACACAAACAGACGGCATGACTGACACATCAATTCTGAATCTAGGTCTTCTAATTATTTGGACAATGGCCGCTGAATTATACGCGGAATAATTGCTGTTGTTTGATACACTGAGAGAGATTATATTCACTATTACAGAGAATACTGACTTATTCTCGACTTAAGTGGAACTAACTGGAACAGTAAAAGCTTTTGCAGAATTTACCAACAATTTTATAAACATTGGATATTATTCCATATGGTATTGTACGAAATGATGAATTCTGTAAAATAAGTACATGAAATCAAATTTCAAAAGCAGGGTAATGATTCCTCTTATTTCACTGTTTAATGATGTATTGGTGTGCGACAAACTGATCCATACAGCTTTAGGTCCATATTATGTTGACCCACCGTACGATTAATGAAGTTAAGTAACATCGAGCATGGTCAATATCTAAATGGGTGACCACTTAGGAATATCAGGTGCTGCACGCTTGGGTGTGACGGTGGTGTAATGAATAATTCATCTGAATTGTTAATCGGAGAGCCGATTTCCAATTCCTGTTGGGTACATTATATCACTTACGCGCAAATATCACAGAGAAAAGGATGTATCCACCTTTTTCTCGTCCACTTATCGATTAATTAATAATACTTGTATCACTAAATCATCATTATCGCCAAAAGGAAAAATACGTTCTTAAAATCTAGCAATATTCTCTGGCTTTAATATTCTACCAATGGTTGATAAGATATAAAAATTGAATCAATAAAATGATCAATGCAGATTCGATCTTTATAAAATGCTGCTTTATACCGTGTATCTTAACATTCATCATAATCTAGAACTGCCTTAAATACAGAAAATTAAAAATCTGCTAAGTTTTGTACGAAACGACTAAAATAAGATACAGAAATCCGAAGCGTTTCTAAAGCTATTCAAAATATTTATAAACAGGACATTTTCTTTAGGAACAAAGAAAAAATTGTTTAATTAGTGTTTAATATCAATCTACCTATAAGGCAATTAATGCGGGATAATTCCCTCACAGATAAAGAAGAGACGAAGTAAATAGATAATGAATATACCATGGGTGGCGACTTTGCACAATGAGAGCAATTTAAGGAAAATGGAAAGCAAAAATAACAACTATTCATAGAATCAGTAAAAGATATTCGAAACAGCTCTGTCCCCAAAGGAGAAAAGAGATTTTGGAGAACTTGACACTCACGGGACATATTTTATGCAATAGGGACAAAGGCTAATCTACCGGGTGATGAAAAGCAAGTAGGCATTAATAAAATCGATATTCCTATTACACATTTATTGAAACAAATGATGCATGTTCTTATTACATGGGAAAATGAAAATAAACCTTCATATTTCAACGTAAACAGCGGTTGCATCAACCGATTTCCTCAAACGGCCAGGGATAGAATCAACAACCTTCTGAAGGACGTCGTCTAGGATATCTTTGAGAACCACCGGAATCTGTGTCTCTAATCCTCCCGTGTGCGATACTTTGTCTTGTTCTCCTCTTTTGTGTAACCCCACAAGTAAAAATCACATCGAGTGAGATATGGACTTCTTGGAGGCCATTCATGAGGTCCGCGTTGTCCCATCCAATATATTTGAGAATGTTGGTCTAACCACGCAAGCACAGTAAGAGCAAAATAGAGTGGTTCACCATCCTCCGTGAATATCAGGTCACCAATGCTATCCAAACCAGACACCGTGGGGCACATATAATTTTCGAGCATCTGAAGATAGTGGTCCGTATTCATGTTGTCACGCAGAAGATATGAACCGACGACTTTTGTTGTCGTCATTCTGCGTCGAATGGCCACTTTTGGTCGAGCTTGCTTCCTCTTAACCGTCATGTTCGGATCTTTATCACATGATGCAAAATAATGGCATTTATGACGATTTGATGAAACCAGCAACATGGAATTCAACCTCGTCAATTCAGAGGAGGTTTTCAGACAATTCAGACCAATCTTCATGCCAACCTAACATTAAGTCTCCATATTCCATTCTGCGGTCACAGTCTTCAGATGTTACCCACTTACCCGTAAATAATAATAATGTTTCTGTTTACAATGTTTTCGTCACGACTTCACTGATACTAAAAATTCTATAAGCAATTTCTAATGCCTAGTTACTTTCCACTCACCCTATATGATATGAATTTGCGCAAATAAATGTCGGAAAAAAGACTTGGGCGGTTTGTAAGTTTACAAACATTGCTTAGAGACATAAAGAATAAAATGTGGGGAGCTATGATCGAACCTCTCTTGAAGAGAGACTGCACATAAAAGATGTAAAAAGGTAAAACTAAAAAAAAAAAAAAAACAACTTGTTACAAATATAGAGAATCATTTTCCTGTAACAATTAGTTATGTTAAATTGTTTGAATGCTTTGGTTCAATTCATTTGAATTGATTTTTATTTTCTTCTCTATAGTCGGAGATATTGCAACTATTTACACTACTTATATCGGTTGTATTGTTGTCCTCATCTTTATTACCATATGCATGACGTTTCAGCCGTTGCTCCGACCTTCTTCAGGCGATATATATATATGTTGGAATTTTGAATCGTACCCTGTATTTAGTCTACACTTTAGATTGTTCTAATTCTAAATGGGTATCTCAGTATAAGTTAATTCTCATTAGTAACTCAACACTTCAAGTTCTATTGAACACAAAACACTTTGGGTCCACTCACTTTTTTTTATTCAAGTAACGCTTTTATCCACTGGGCTTTGTGTTCATCAGTGAGTGAATTTCAGGGGCTTATAAATCAAATGTCTCAGTTACATTTTTTTTCAGCGTTCATATTAAAATTTCTATTTTTGTTGTTTCCTCTAGCTCTCAGCATTACTAGTTTTAATGTTATATTCATGTCTATACCTGACCGACTTAAGAGTTAATAAAGGGAATTAACTGATACTGAAATGTCGAAACGTGGAATTAGAGCAATCTGTAGACTAAATAAAACATTCGGTTCGAAATTTAACGTGTATCATCTGAAGATGGTCGGAGCGTACCACAGTCGAAACGTCGTGAATATGACAATAAATATGAGTAAAACAGTCCGAATGATGTAACTATTGTAGATTTTTATTTGTTTTATTAAGAGTAATATCGTTAAGCACCATGAAGTCTGTGGTCATACCTTCTTTAGAAATTCTGTCTGAACCGTATCAATTTCGGTGCTCTCCTCTTTCCTTATGTCTTTAATTGCTGTCTCTATTCTGAGGAAATACGACGGGTCAGTGTTAATGTCAAAGACATTTGAATATTTTGCATATGTTAGTCTTTGTCTGTTTATTTGAAACACGGAACCTGAATTACAATTTGTTCCCTTTCCTTTGTTATCAAAACGCTCTTCTTGACTTTGTCTGGAGTAGCATCGTCATTTCAATGACCACCGTATTGCTTAGAGATCATGTAAAACTATACTCCCGTCTTCCTTAATTGCAGCCACCTTAGCTACTCTTACCAATTTCTCTACAGACATTTTCACTGTATTAATCTTCATACCTTCAGATTTTCAATCTTTTTCAAATTCAGTAAGCTGCTTCTCGCCATCTTTTCTTATCAATTTTCTTCAGGTGTTATTCATTATTTAGATTTATTCTATGACACGCTTTGTTGTTATTTTAGTCACTTCTACGATATTATTCCACGCTGTTCCAATGGTACTCCGAGAATTGGAGCGATTTCTCACCTTGATGGTAAACACTTTGACTTCTGTTCACATAATTTTATTGGTGTCTGATATATTTTTCCGCTGTTTGGTGGTGCTTATTCATTTTACTTTCACTCTGACCTTGGCTATGAGTATTTTAATATCTTGCACTTATTATTTATCGTTCGGTATATAATATAATATATAATATTCTTTACAATGTTGTAGATGTTTCTGCACACGTACAGAATCATTCTCACTCCCGCTGTTGGCTTTCCGAATGTGCATTCCTATCTCTAGTCGTCGCTAGAATGTCGTGCTGTAAGATTTTGGAGGAAGGTTTTTGCATTTTTCCATCGCATCACCTCTCTCATCCTCTTTCGTCTCGTTGTCAATGGTCTTCTAGCACAGAACGGTCATGTAATGAAGTCGGGGTGCCCATTATAAACACCAGACACGAATCTACATTGCTTGACATTATATCGGATCCAGTATTTTGTCATTTACTCTCGGTTAGTCTACGATATGTGGTCCCCGTAAAGCCTTTAACCAAATGCCGTCTGCAGTTTGTGAGAGACTGACAACACTGCTTCTTGGTAGTTGTCAATATAAACGCGTGGATATTAGAATGTTGCGGACCAGATACTGGTGTGAAGTGGCATGTTTCCCGACTCGGCGGCTGGGACTTACGCCAGGCCTACCCACAATTGTAGTCATCTTTCTTGATGTTCGTTGACAATTCCGTGTAATGTCTATTCTAGCATTATACAACAGTCTGTTTCAGTATCAGGAGACAAATTTAACTATTAATCTATCACTGGTATGTTCGAAAATTAAACAGTTTAAGGTACTGAATGAGACATTATTACTCACCTTAAATCCTACACAGGCCAATGAGGATGTTGTAGGTTGTCCAAGTTTAGTTATATATTTTGTTGTAAATTGTACTGTCAATTCGAAGTTTAAAAATAGCGCATACGTGTTCTGCTTCCAAAACATAGTTTTGGCTCTGAGAAAAGGTTTCCATCTATTTTATTTTCATGTTTTGAAAGGAGACGATGTACCTGCGAGTGAAACCTATCTATCTATCTATCTATCTATCTATCTATCTATCTATCTGTTATGGTAATTTACCAACGCACGCATGGATTCTACCAGCTATAAATGGGAGCAGGTACTGCCTTTTGAAGAGGGAATTTTCAATCAGTGAGGTCTGACAGTCGGACCGAACATTCCTGCTCTAACACTCTTGTTCAAACAAAACTGAAATTCTCACACTTAAATACTTACTCAGATTTTCTGATATTTATTTGAGTATATTATATTCAAAAATGATTAACGATATTGACGCAAAAAAACAAAAAGGAAACAAGCAGGCTAAGTTTACAGTAAGAGAAAATCATCCCTCATTGACGCGGCCGATTATTACAATTTATTCGTACAACGTATATTCGTGTCACATTATCACACGTAAACGCATTCTTTTTCTGCTATACTAACGCAATTCATTTAGTTGTTCTGTAAACAAAATATGCAAAATATTTTGTGTGAAGTTGTTTCGCACAGATTCAAATTGAAAGAAAAATAATATACAAATGATAAAAGATTAATAAAATTTGTAGCGCCGTGATGAAGATTCGCTTATTTCTTCGGTTTAAACACGCATAATCACCTACACGATGTTCTTAAAATATATCTGAGAAGCTCCAAACGCATAATTATGAAAGTAAATGTAAATATAGTCATTTTCTATGGATTTCATGCTTCACAAATCAGCTGCTTATTAGAAATTATATTTTATCACTAGTAAATGAAGAAATCTAAGATTAGAGGTTACTCTGAATTTAAAAAAAAATATTCTATAAATTTAACTATGATTGAAATTAAATTGACATTAAATCTTTTGTCACTCCAATTTTATTGCAAGTGAAGATGGTGTTTAGAAACCCTGTAGAATGGAAAATATAACGTACCACGTGGCGAAAGGACGCTTGAATCAATGATCAGCTAAGAGATAATGTCTCAATAAAATCACCGTCGATAAGGCAACGGAAAAATAAATTGCTAAGATCATTCATGGCAGTTAACAGTATTAATTCCTGATAACGGCGTGAAGGGGGATTAAGTCTCTTCCCGGTTAAGGAGAGGCAGGAGTGACAGGTGTGATGGAACCATCATCTGGCGAATGTTCCTATTAAACAGCACATATGCATTACTTAAATGCATCGTCTAAGAAATACATCTTTATGATATAACTGTTTTGCATGAAACTGAGGAATTCATATATATATATATATATATATATATATATATATATATATATATATATATATATATATTGCATATCGGTATCAAAATTGTGATTTAACTACAGAAAAATCATTTTTTTTGTTTTTAAATAATTTTCGATTGGCTTAGCTATTATCAAGCATTGACTTTTATGAATAGAGCAGAGAAAATGTTCGTTCGGTCCATCCTGAAATTTTTAGAATGCTACAATTTATATAAATCGATATGTACCCGTATCATCAAGTGATATAATTTGCTTATATTTATACGGAGCTAGACTGCACGAGAATATAATATATCTAATACTAGCAGCATGGCCCGGCGTTGCCCGTGCTTGATTCTAAAATCGTACGACTCATACAGGTATCGCTATCACTTGACTTAAATTATTTTTGCCCTTCCTTGCCTTTAAAGGAGTGTCCTTTGCCGTACTGATGTTGCTACATGCATTACTACTTGCCTATCTCACACTGCGAATTTTTTCTAAGCGCTATACTAAACATTAAATCTGTTATGAAAAAAGAACTAAACAAAATGAACACAAAACGATCAGCTTTAAAAAAGGACTCGTAACTGGAAAAACCGAATGAAAAAAGAATGTTAACAACAAATACTTTTTCACAACCAAACCCAGCTCTGCGGAATCAGAATCAACGTTGAGTTTAAGCAAGCGAATGGGCCAATTGGATTAAAGTGCCATGAAGATTTAAATTTGTCCTACTTGTGACGAATGCAGCTATCGATTTTTTTTGCATGCTAGCATGCTAGGTAACATTCGCGTCACTCAGCTGTTGGCTCGCACGCCGGCCAATAGAATCTTCCTGTCTATTCGTGGCAGCCAGCGATAGGCTCTCACTCTGGCCAGTAGAAAATGGCCGCAAACTACATGAAAACTCCCGTAGAAGCATGAAAATATCGATTATTTCCACTAACGATGGGAGTTAGGAAATGCAAAGTCAGTCTTTGCCTTCCCGCTAACTGGGAGCATGTGCATGTAAATTTTGGTGCATATCCGTCGAAAATTGCGGCCGTGCATTCGTTACACACACACACGCGCATATCTTGCCTTATATATATATATATATATATATATATATATATATATATATATATATATATATATATTGCAAATCGGTATCAAAATTGTGATTTAACTACTGCAAAATCATTTTTTTTTTTGTTTTTAAATAATTTTCGATTGGCTTAGCTACTATCAAGCATTGAATTTTATGAATAGAGCAGAGAAAATTTTTGTTCGGTACATCCTGAAATTTTTGGAATGCTACAATTTATATAAATCGATATATATCCGTCTCATCAAGTGATATAATTTGCTTATATTTATACGGAGCTAGACTGCACCAGAAAATAATATATCTAATATCCATACATATTATTACTATTATCATTAGTATATTGTACGCAAATTACATAAAATGTACTGTAGAATACGGTCCTCAGTGAGTAAAAATGTATTATTTAACGAGGAGTTTAGTGGCCACAAGTTATCATCAGATAGGTTAGATCTTTTTAAGCTTGTTTAATATTAATTAGTAGAACTTAGGTATATGTTAGAATCGTTAAGTGAGATGGATATGTCATTTATAGTTGTTTTCTTCAAGAGTTTTTAGAATGTATCTAATTAATACAGAATAAATTAATGTTCTGCTTAATTTTGTTTATCTCAGGACGATTTGTTACACACACACATACACACACACACACACACACTCTCTCTCTCTCTCTCACTCACACACACACATATTTATAGGGTGCGATTGGTAAATTGTCGCCATTTTATACTTTTCATTTCGAGCAGTCGTGTTGTTTATTTTTTATTTTGTCGACTGCATCGTATAGTAGGGTAGGATCAGTTGGGCACACTCTGTGAGAGAAAAAAAGCCCCATGACACAAATCACAGCGCCCGAAATTTGGAAACAAAATGCTGGCATTCACACCAGAAGCTCCAATATGAACACTTCAGTGGGTTTGCGTGTCAATTCGAGGACAGCAGAATATTCAGAAAAGAGTTCGATGAGTCAAATGATGATTACAAAATTGTTTGGAGTAATCACTAGTGATGACAACGTTTTGCCTCAATTCATCTACCAACAGGGCTTTAGCTTCAACAGAGAACTACATCGTATCTTGTAGAGTTAGTGCTGCCGTAGGTCAAGAGTGTGGCTACTGGAAGAGAATATGTCTGTTGACCATGTTCGCCATAGTCTATGAATATAGAATACAGCGCAGTACGTAATCTGTTCATTGAAAAAACGTTAAAGATTAACACTCACGTGTCAGACACTCTACTGAATCTGACTATATCGCCAATACCACCAGCAGCTGTTCCGTAATTCTACAGTCTTCGATATCAAAGGCTGGCAGTGCATAGTCGGGAAAAACATGGCCGCCTTTATACACGTCGCATCGAATATTTTGAGCCTTCTGATTGGTTAACCTTTCTATTGCTGAACTATAAAATGAGTCATCTCATTTTGGCTGGCTCATTAGTACACCAGGTTACCCAAAAATTCCAACAAGGTCTAGCAACAGAACTTCACACAAGCAGGCGAATTCAGTCATAGCTCTCAGACAATTTCTGCCACCACATCACCCCTTACATCTGGCTACCTAACTTCTCATAACTTTATTATGTGTGGGCATATTTGAGCGAGAGATCAACAACACTCTTTGTAACATGGAAGATGAACAGAAGGCAAAGTTTATGGCAGTATTCATCATTTTAAACAAGAATACTGCCTAGAAGATTTGTAGGATATTCCAAAGTTGTCAGGTGGCCGTGTTTGGAGCCAATGGCGATTTTATTGGATAACCTTACTGTTACCTTAGTATTCAAGATATTGTGCTAAAATGAGATGTCAAATTTATTTTCATTTTTGCGTAATTTAAACAACACATTTTCCATCACTCTCTCTCTCTCTATATATATATATATATACATATACATATATATATACATATATATATATACATATACATATATATATATATATATATATATATATATATACATATATATACATATATATATATACATATATATATATATATATATATATATATATATATATATATAAGGGGCTAAGTTAAAAAATTATCTGCACTTTCGTTATAACATATCTTTAGGTTTGTCACACTGCATTCTGCTCACGCGGGCTTATAGTTGCTACATTTGTGGTCACGTGTTCGAGCCTGTTTTCTCGGTGGTCTTACAGTGTAAGAAGGGCCCCAGCGTAGGCAGTGTGCCCAAAGGAGGAACAGCGGTCAGTGTTCCGAATCTACAAAGACCATTCTACCTCATCAATAATTACTCGCCGGTTCGCTATTACCATCATTCGGGATGACTGTAGCCGCTCCTGGGTGGTAGATCTTTGCGAGCGTCCTGCTCCCTCTTCGTGTGTCACTCTTATCCGGCAAATCTTAAAGTTCTCCATCTAATCATGGACACTTCTACGCGGTAGTGCACTGTTGCCGTTTTTTGCTAAAAGCCTCCAATGAATTTTAGCCCCTGACACACCATATGAGAGAAATCGTATCACTGCTATTTGTCCCTGCTTGGTGCACAATGGTAGTGGAGCGGACATGTATACACTGTAACAGCAACAACAAAACTGGCACAATAAAGCTCAAACATCGGTTAGGTGAGCACAATAGTAACGACTATAAGCCCGCATTCGTCGTAGGCAACATGGCAACCCTACAGATATATTCTGGCGGAAGTGCAGATAATTTTTGAGTTACTTACATATATATATATATATATATATATATATATATATATATAAAATATACATATGCACACGTATACTCTGCA